ACGCAGTTATAGATTGCACTATCAAAGGTGAGGTTCACGGGTCCGCACAGCAAAAGCAGAGGTCACATTAAAGTGGGTTCACATAAAAAAAGTTTATGGGCCACTAGAAGCAGTAGCCAAGCGGCGAAGGATGCTAGATGTGGCATTTTCGCGACTGGTGGACTATTAGAAGCGTAATAAGGGCCCATATTCAAAAATTCACTTCGCTTGGCCTTGGTTTTGAACAACAGTTCGAGACTACTCACCAGCGTGTTTCGTAGGCTCTCATACTTTGAGATGGGTATCTCTCACACGCGCATAGTCGACCATTTTCACAACCATGCTCCAGTGATACGGCAAGCCTATTCAGCCCTTGCTGCCGGCACACTAAGGCTGGTGTCAGAGTCCGCGATCCGTCGCAGGTTTCGCGTGATTCGCGCGATTCGCGCGACGGGTCACGGAAATCACAAGTGCCCGATCAATACTGCAAGGTGCTCTCCAATCCCGCCGCCATTTCTGCTTGATGGTGATGGCTGAATGACGACTGTTCATGATTCTACTTGTTTCATATTCAGTGTTTCAAATGTTCAAATGGGGCACTTGCAATTGCGATCGCGCGAATCGCGCGAATCTCGCGAAACTGCGACGGATCGCGGACTCTGACACCAGCCTTCCACAGCTTATTGCCAGCTTATCGTATTCTTTCAGACCTTATGGAGCACGGAATCATCTACCCAACAAGTAGGATAGAATCCACATGGTTGCATGTGCTACCGTATGGATATCCGATTCCAACGCTGAACCGAGACAAAGAACTACAAAAAGCTCACAAATTACTTGAAATGGCGAACATCTATTCTCGTGGACGGTACTTGTTTGTTGCTGGCTTTGTTTTTGCAACGTTGCGAGATGATCCGTGCTATTCTTTTATTCAGATTCGGCAGCTGGCGATATGAAGCAGCTAATCAAGATCATAGCTTTACAATGGGAACAGAGGTGATCGACAGAATCGTCTTCGCTGCAGAGGAAACCATATAAAATCGGTTCTAGGAGGATTCAGACTGAAGTGTCCTTCTGAGGTAGAATGGCCATAAGTCGGAGATCCCCTCCTTCTGTCTGAGGCTAACCAGCTTAGTGAATGAAGCTACCGCATTTCTCTAGCTCTTTCTTCCGTTTGAGAGTTGTCGCATTGGTCTCAGATTCTTATGTCCTCGTCCCACTTTCCCATTTAACAATCGACCTCAGCGCCCAGCATCAATTGATTTAGAAGGGCTTAATAACACAAAACTAAGCGAATACCTTAGCAACATACAGCGAATCCTAGTCCATTAAACACGTTCGAATGTTTTACGGTATCTGATTCTCTTATACATGAACAGGCACCCGCTCCTGTGC